TATTCGCTCGAACTTCGTTAAAACCTTAACTGTACCCCGAACAACAACCGAAGTTGTAGGAAGAAATTCGCGTATTTTACCGATCTAGGTATCCCCCCTTTTCCAAATTTTAATATCGACTCAAAATAATTTAAAAAGACAAATTACAATAAAACGGTTTATTATCCAACTATCAGAAATTTCACAACACGCCAAGGAAGAGAGGAAGGAGCAATTAAATAATTAAAATTATAAAGGATTAAAAAATATATATATAAAAATGGGGAATATCGCACTTCTGAAATCGCTGCGTGTGGGTTAAATAATATAACACCAAAACAAACATGTTTTTGACATTTTTTTTATTTATGCATGAATAGATTTAATTACTTTATTTTATTTAAGCTTTTCCAGTTTTCTCATTTACTTAATCTAAAACATGGCACATTTCTGCCAGTAAATAGAATAATAAATTCTGCTGATTGTTTAGAAAATTTCCCGGTTTATTTTTTGATATTTTAAAATGTAACATCACGAAACTTTATTCTGGAAGTCATCAATAAATTGCTGTATATATATATATATATCAATATATATCTGTATTTCTTTGTTGTTTTGTTTTTACTTACTTTAATGAATGCATTCGAAAATGTATCAGAAGATTTGTATTTACTGAATAAGGAAAATTTGAATTTGCATTCGGAATTGGAACGAATTATGGCACAACACGATGAACTTTGGCGCTTTACCGATCACCTCAACGGACCATTCAATTACGTATTAACAATTCTATACGGCATTTTATTATTAGAAACAAGTCTACTGTACTTTGCTCTCATCTTTTCGAAAATGAAATTTGCGTTGAAACTGTTTTATTCTTCAATGTGTCTTAGCTTCACTTTCCTTTGTATCGTAGCCGGATTTCTGTTTTCTGCTTTTACATCTACTGTAACGTATTTCTTTTGAAAATTCCACTATTTTCTATATTTACAGACCTCTAAATGTGTTGTTCCTTTTTTCAGATGCAAACGTCCTTTCAAGATATCAGAAGATTTGCTGGCTGCGATCTCAAATTGGAACAAAAGTTAAAGGTTTAACATTTAAAATCTATTGTTATTGAGAAAAACATTTATTATGTTTATACGTACTGTAAGTTATTTTAATGCTTTAATAAAAATAATTTTGTAGATTCTAAACTTTATGAAAAGATTCGGTAAAGATTGCCTGTGTTTGACATTTAGAAATTACTTTAAGGTTACAAAAAAGTTTCCAATAAAAGTGTTTTGAAATTTATTTTACTTGTGTTGTTTTTAAAATTAGAATTATAATAACTGAATTCATCCTTTAAATATTTCAGATGGGAAGTTCTTTACACACTATATTTTCTGGTCTTTTGAATATAAAGAAAGTTTCGTAGATAAAATTTAACAAACATGTTAAAAAGACCAAAGTGATGACAAGCTCATACAAAAAGACATGGAAAACGGGGTACCCCTTGAATTATGGTGAGACTAACCTGAGGACCCAGGATCCAAGAGTTATAACAGTATGTCGAATCTAGAAAATGTCCGCAATGCTTCTAAGTATATGAATCATAATCAAATTATGTGACTTTCCAATTTTGTATCTCTTTTATATCTCAGATACTGTTAATAAATTACTACACTGATTTCTAAATTGTCTACTTTTGTATTGTGAAGGTCTGAAATTCTTTTTCTGTCTTAAAACAGTATAAACCTCGGGGTTTTTTCTATAAAGGGAAAAAGGGGGACTTCTGCGATCAATGACCGAGACGCTCTTTTCGAATAAAAAAAAATGGGGGAATGTTAAAATATCAATGAAGGAAATCTCCTCCATTTGTTTAAAGGTAATTCTATAGACGTTAATATCAACAAGACGGGAATAAGAGATGGTTTCTTACACCCTCTTTGGTTGCAAGTGACACGTGTTTACAGCAATAGATCGCCTCGTTCGTAGTCAAACGCGACGTTTGATATAAACAATATGTAGATTGTTGACCAGTTTACAGAAATTATTGTCAGCTGAATGTTAATTTATGGATGAGAGCCGTCAAACCTATACAAATTTATATTATAAAATCATATCTTCTAGACACCAATATCAATAAATTAAACAAACTTCTCTGTGCCAGTGGTCCTTACTAGCTAGATCCAGACATCAACACACTAACAGGTGTGTGTATAAATCATTAATAATGTCATAGTTTTCATCCTTTCAAATTTGGTATAAAAAGGGCTCAGGGCCCGTTATCGGTGTGACCTTCGAGACATCGGAAAACGACGGACCAACTGTCGGAAATACGCGAGACACAACCCAGCTAACTACCTATTGGAGCTTCGGTTGAAATTGTTATTATTAATCTTATTATTTGTATCCTTTTTTGTATAGCGTTTACTAATTAAATTTATATCATATCTTAAACATGTGTGTTTACTCGTACTCGGCCAACACCTTATCGACTTATCCGCGACCTCCCACTCGATTTTCGCCCTCCTAAATTGCCATCCACTGACCCTGTGAGCGCGACTCACCTTCCCGTTGTCGGAAAATGGTTTAAGCTTTGATGCTTAAACCCCAATTCTCACAGTAAGTAACATTGCTCCATGTCCATTCCTTGCTTTTTTTTTATCAATGGAATATTTAAAGTGGCGTAAAATATCCTCTCTCTGAGGGTACTTTGCACCATTTTTTGGTCTATAAAAGAAAAAAGAAAGCTGAAATACAGAGATTTGGTTAATGTTTCGGTAGGATGGAGGGCGCTGGATCCTAAGAAGGATGTTATACATTTTTGGAAAGCATTTTTCTTACTGATCAAGAATATATCAAGTTTGTTAAGATTGGGTTATTTTTCACGATTTTACACGTTTTTGAAAATACCGTCTTTTCAGGCTCGATTATCCGGACCATCTTGACCGATCAACCGGAACGCTTTCCGGGTATTTGATCGCGCTAAAAACGTGAGTGCGTGTTTAAAATTTCGGAATTTTAGGCCCAGTAGTTAAGGAGTTATCCCTTACTTCCGGTTAAATTTCGGTGGGCTATAACTCGCTTCCGGCTCGTTATTTCTGGAAAATTTTTGGGCATCTCTTAGAAGATACCAAACGTGAATTTCTCCAAAAATTTCATGCTAATATCTCCAATAGTTTTTAAATTATCGCTGTTCTAGAAAATTTTGGAATTTCAACATTACCGTTCCATTGCCGGTAATGATAGCGATCGTCAATGACCTCTTCTACACGAAACTTTTATAACTTTTCCCGGAAGTTACATTTACTTCGTTACTATCAATATTTTACTAGTCACGTTATATATTTTTGGAATCGTCTGAATTAGACGAAGACATTGAACATACTTTTAAGTTAAAATTTTAGACGTAAAAATGTTTAAAACCTATTATTTTGATTGGTATGGAATGTGAGGTCAAAACATTTCACCGAACTGCCTATGGAATTATCGATGAGATTTAACAATATTCTAAACATAACCCGAATGCCAAATTAGGAGAAATTCCTGAATTCTTGAAGTATCTCCACAAATTAGACAGAATATGATAAAAGCAGGAAAAATCCATCTTCTTTGGACAACCTGTCCTATCTTTGACTTTCTCCCTATAACACAGCGCTATCGCTGTTTATCATTTGGACATTTTGCAAAAAATTGTTCTTTAAAAGAAAATGTGTAGCCATTGTAACGGAAATCATTTATATAAAGACTGTCAAAACAAACATGACTCACCGAACTGTGCTAACTGCTTGAGAAAACAGTGTACAGAATTGTCACAACACAATGGATAAAACTTGTCCAGTGTATATAAGAGAAAAAAACAATTCCAATAAAGAACTGACTACATAATACAGTGATCTGCGAGGCTACTTCACAAACTCAAGGATTAACGGGTGTCTGCAGATTGTGATCTGACATTTGTATTTTAGAACTGTAAAATGAATATCGCCGTATATTTATTTATTGTATTTTAATTAATGATCTTAGTTCTTTCTAATAATTGTTACCAAGGACCATACGTTTTGTCATGTAAATTGTATGTGCTTAGCATACATTCAATTTCCTTTATTGTTTGTACTTTGGTGTCAATGGCACTTTTAACGTCAAGTATTTCTCTCTGATTGGCAAGTTGCTGCTTATTGTACTTATTTATTGTGTCTTATATATTGCATAATCGAGAATATATATGTTTGATAATAATAGTATTGAAAAACATGTAAAGCTCACCAACAGCAACTTGTCATCAATTTGTATATTGATCAACAAATGAAAAACTTTTGTTGTTTTCATTTTGATTTTCATGTTATTGATGTATTATTTTATGTATTTTATTTCTTATGTTCTTTTAATTCTTCATCATAAGAGTTATGTGTACAACATATATACCTGAGCATTGTAATTTCAGTGTACACAACCGGTAATGCACCAAAGCGGGCCGGTTTGTATATATATACAAACCGGCCCCGCTGTTCTATTACACATGTACTTTGAAATGTCTACTGAAACATTCATACATACATACATATATATATATATGTATGTATGAATGTTTCAGTAGACATTTCAAAGTACATGTGTAATAGAACACATTTATAATTCCAATATAATATGTTAACTGGAACATCCATCTTAAAAATTGTCATATAAAATAAATAAATCATACAGTGAAAACTAGTCTGTGATTTATATTCTTGACTCTAATTTCAATCTTTACACTAAAAAAATGACTTCAAAGATCATTGGACATGCAATTTTAAAAATGGTCTGTCGCAGTGTTGAAATATTTACAAACTGAACAGCGTTTCAAATCTCAAACTAATTTTATTACACATTTTTCCACCTAGAATTTCATTCTGTGCGGATACATTTTATTTCGCAGTTGAAAGACAGATGCCAGGTAAGAGAACATCATCTTTTTCTCAGGATGCTTTTTGATGGCCTCTATCAGTTGTCTGTCCACTTCGATCTGGTCCTTCTTTCGCTTTTCATTCACAGTGTATTCCTGAAATCAATTTTATCATCATCAAATCATTTTACATCAAACTTACTCTACATTTTTTTATCAGACAAAAAACATCTCTATAACAACTAAGTTTATTTTGTCTGTTTTGAATCCAATAACACTATCTGTTGGAATTAATTTTCAATGTTCATTTTGTTTTATTTGTGATTAATTTAATTAATAGTTGTTTGTTCTTAGTGTTTTTTACAAGTTAAAAAATTTTTATCTTTCTTTTTACCTTTGCTATAAACAGAACTCACAGTATAACACTTAACTAATGTTAATCTTTTGGGTAGCCATGCACATTCTAAGAAATATGTTTTAGAAAGTCGAGGAACTATCCATACGTGAATTTTTGAAACAGACAACTGTACTGTACATTCTCAAATTGATTATTATTATAATCAATTTACAACTTACTCTGGTGATACAAATTCATAAGATAAATAGATAAACGGTGTTCCTTCAAGTAGAATTTAAGTAAGTTATAATAAAAATGTTAGATAAAAAGTATATAATATGTGATAATAAATAACAATTAATAACTGATGACAATTGAAAGCAGATTTAAGTATCATTGACCTTTTAACAATATTTAACTCTTATTTCAAAATTTTATGCTTGAAAAAATAAATAACTTTGTGTTAATGACAGATAATAGTTATTTAATCAGGATGTTATTGTAAGATTTATATCAAAGCTGTTGTTTAATATAGTCAGAAGTTTATGGGATATGACAAAATCATAGGCTTGTGCCAATCAAGAAAAACTATGTAAGTAGGTAATTTATTTTAAAAGATTTTTTATTATGACATGATATGTGTCTAATAAATTTGTGATTGTTGAGTTATGAGGAAGGCCACAATGTTAGATTGAAAATGTTTTGTTAGTGATTGAATGTATTGGGTTGTTCGGAAAGTAAGTTCGTTTTTTTACCACTAGACGGCTTAGTCATATTTTGCTCATCATTTTCATTCTAAACTTTATTACCTATATATATTTTAACAGCTAGCATTTTAAGGCTTATTTGTAAAAATTTTGTTTGATTTTGTGCAATTGTTTATTTTTTGTGTCCTATCAAACATGGAAGATTGAAAGCATCATTTTCGACATATTTTGCTTTTTTATTACCAAAAAATCAAAATGCTGTTCAAGCAAGGAAAAAATTGTGGTACATGTGTGGAGATGATGTGTTGACAGAACGACAGTGCCAAAACTGGTTTACAAAATTTCGTTCTGGCAATTTCAATATTGAAGATGCACCACGTTCTGGATGGCCAGTTGAAGNAACGGTGTTCCTTCAAGTAGAATTTTCCTCTATTTTCTTTAAATTGTTAGATAAAAAGTATATATATATATATCACTCATATTATTATAATATTTACTTTCTCACCACACCGGGTTGTATATACTTCAAATACACAACAATCTATAATTAACCAATAACTGGCATGAAATTCTTCAAAAAACCAGCAAACGTTTTCGATTCCCCTTCTGGGATATTTTTTTCGGAAAAGGTCACATTTCAAATTTTTTAAAAAACATTTGAATTAAAGAATCCAGTTATAACAGAAGATAAATAATAAGCCTGAGGAAGATCTCAGGAGGGGAATCAAACACTTTTGCCAATTTTTTTAAAGAATTTCACACCGGTTATTGGTTTATTATAGATTGTTGTGTATTTGAAGAGTATTATTATATATTATAATTTATGAATTAATTCTTCATATGTAATTTATTTTAAAATAGCAAACATAGTTATCAACAAACTTATTTTTGTCTTACAAGGAAACCCTACGGCTTTGGGGAAACAGATTTTGATGATCATTGGTGTAGAAGTAGTACACCACGTGAGTGTACTACCCGTAAAATAGTAAAGTGCAACACTCAAATATAATCGGGAAAAACAAAGTTAAAGTTTTCTTTAGCACTTTGTATATAAGTTACACATACTTCTGCTTGAACGTTCTGTGGCATGAGTGTAACACTCCTGACTCGTACGCTTGCGTGCTCAGGTTTGATTCTCTTGTTGTGTATACTTTTTCCCCTCTTTTTTTTATTTACTCATTCATTTATTTCTTATTATTTATTGATTTTTTTAGTTTTTTTTTATAATTTTGTCTCGTTTCGACAAAGAGGTCATATATCCAAGAATCAATCGAATAATATTTATCAAAAGTAGTTCCACCACATTTAACATTTTTCCCCATAATTTTAAAAGATCCATTCTTTTCAAATGACTACATCTGTTGTTTTTTTTGTAATGTTTGTAGTTTCCACGTACAGTGGGCTTTTGCTACTTTTAAAACTTTGATTTTATATTCCAGTGAAATATATTCCTTCATTCTATATTTTTTTTCACCAGGTACATAGTCATCAGATGAGTCATCTTTAACTGCTTCGAAATTTCCTTCTGTTCACTCTTCTTGGGCATAAATCAATTCGTCATCAATTATAAAATTTTTTCATTCAACACACCCAATGTATTATTGTATAATTCTGTGCCTATCAGCATAGCATCTTCAGATAGTGTATCAGAAGATATTGTTGCAATGAAATTATTTTCAAAAAGTAAACTCTCATAATATACTACTCCATCTTTCAGCCACTGCTTTGATACATCACTGTTTAAAGAGTTATCATCAACAGTTTTTTCGTCATAATGTGAAAAACTTGCTTCTTTTGATGACATTTTTTTTAATTATAAAATAATTTTTCAAAATAAATTTCACTGCACAAATACATCTATTTGTGTCAAAATTCAGAAATGAACTGTTAAGTGTGATTAGAAAAAGACTATACCATCGTGTAAAAATCTACCAACTCCAACTCAGACTTTTCCTTACCATCTGATTCCAACTCTAACCAGAGCCGGACTTGTTACCGAAAGAGACCCTGAAATTCTAATGTCATCATGTGACCTCAGAATAAAAGATTCAATAAATGGAGTTCTAATAAAGATAGAGCTTAGAAACGTTTTATTCCAAAGCTAAAAGCTAAGTAATATATAAATATGTATTCGATAATTTTTACCTTTCCGGCTGTTATATATAACAGAGGAAAAGTGTAGCGCTTGGTCAAAAAATGACCCCTCCCAAATTTTTACATTTTTGGACTCGGAACACCTTGAAATTTCAAGACATGCAAAAGATTCGAGGTTTTTTCCTATATGTGTGAATGATAGACTGTGTGTGGAGGGCATGATTTTGTTCACCCTGTTTGAAGCCTAATAATTTCTGTGGTAAGAGTGGTCATACTCGGAGTCAGATGGTTTAACACAGGAGTTAGATATTAAGCGTCAAAGTTGTTGAACTAAATTGTGTCCCCATACACATTCTAACATCTTAGGTGAGAANCCCTTATTAGATATTGGAAAAAGTATTTTTCTTAATGTACCAAAAATAGATTGTGATTCTTTAGATACCAAAAATACTATGGAGAAAATTGCTGATTTCAGAAACAGAATTTACAAGAGAGGGATTAAATCCAAAATAATTAAAAATTGGTTCTGTCATTATGAATTACAAGAGTCGTCAAATGATTATAATGATGAAATACCAAAAAGATCAATATCTCTGTGAGAAGCCATAACTAACCAATCATTATTTTGTGGTCAAGGATTTCAAAGATGCTCATACAAATCTGCAAAAAATCAGTGTCACACTAACAGATGTGCATTGTTTAAAAAGAAAATTTTTTGTGGATCTAAATATCATTCTAGTTTATCTTGCATTAATAAATAATACAATAATAATGCATTTTCATAATTTAATTTTGCACTATTTACTACCTCTATTTATTTATGTTGTGATTTTACAAAAGTTATTCTTAATTATATTAATGTACCTAAACATTAATATTTAAATAATAGCAATATGTTTAAAGATTACATGTTTTTAAAGATTTTAAATTACCAATGAACAATTAAGTTGATTAGTTATTATAAATAATCATATTATTTTCTAAAATCAGGAAGTAATTCAAATACTGTACTCTTTTTATAATTTTCAAGTTTATAAATAAATAATTTTGATTATACAATATATGTTTTTTTTTTTTTTTTTTACTTCCTAATATTTTTGTCCCTAACCTTAGTGAATAATTCACATTTTTGTAAAGGTGCTAGATTTCCAGAGCTTTACAACACAGCTGGCTATGGTAAGCTGTATTGTAAAATGCAATATAATGACAATCCTGCTGAATGTTAGTTAGCTTTATTACAAAATGACTAGATGCTTTGTATAGCAGCTAAATTAAATAACAATCCAGCCACAACATATACATGATGACAAATGCAAAGTTCAAATAATTTGCTTAAATAAACTTTGTTTGACAGCTGATATGCAAATTGGGCAAAAGAGAGTGTACTCTTTTTTTAAGGATTGTCTGCAACCCAGAGGTAATCGGTATTTTTTGATAATCTGTAGTGTGAATATTAAGATCTCTAATTAAATTTAACATAATCTGATAAAAATTTAGCTCCATAAACATAGAACAAAGGAGAAGAGAAGNTTCTTGAATACAACCCTTTACAAGTTAAAAACTTCTGGCGACCCCCCAGGGTCATATTAAAACTATATCAGTGATTTTAAAAACTATGTATTTAATTTTCTTTCTGTTGAGACCTAAATATCGATTGAAAAACCAATTGTACTGTAAAATAAACAGATACAGCTTACTCACTGAAATTGTAGGGTTTTTTTATTGTAGTGTAGGACCTACAAACACTTGTCTTTTTTTTTTTACCCAAGACCCCCGTGTAAAACTTTGCGACTCCCCTGGAAGTCACGACCCACAGGTTGAAAAACACTGCTATAGGGTAACCCCCGTGTTATACGGGGATTACCTGTATATTAATTCTAATGCAGCCAAATTTGAGAAATATAACTACATATTAAATATCACATTATACAGTCATTTAATACACCATCTTACCTGCTTTTTCAATTTCACCACACGTTTTCCTCCATTCTTTTCACCACCAATAGGTTTCACAATGGTTCTCGGCTTGCGCTTCGGTTTTTCCTTCTTGGTAGTTTCACGCTTCACGTTCCACATTCCACGTTTATGGTACATACGAGAACGAGTGAATCTCCAAATGCCTCCCGGTAACTTGTAATTTCTTGGCCTATGTGGCTCCTTCGTCTTTTTGTCACTAGCATTTTTCATCTCTACGTCTGCCATCTGTAATTTTGTAAATCATATTTAAATTATATTATACCATAAGAAAAACAGTGAACTATATTAATATTTGTTATTAATGACTAAAAATCGTTAATAACAAAATCTACAAGAAAAAAAATGGGAGGAGAAAGTGAAGCATGTTACAAGACACTCAGTCAGAAATTAGAAAACAAAATCAAGGAATAGAGAAAATGATGAAAGTATGTGAAGGAAACAACAGGTAAAATGCAGTTCTAATTGAAGACTTTGGACCCCGCAAATCTCCCCAGATTACCAAATAAGTCAAAGGAACTGTATCTGTAATTGTAACTCTTAGTTTGTTAAACATGTGATAAACTTAATGGAAAATGCAGAACTCCAATCATGCTCCAATAGTAGTCTGTGCAACGGCATTTCTTATGCTTTAGTATCTCTTAGCCATATCTAGTACAGTGGAAAAGTTGATTTTCAACATTATTTTGAGAAATAGTTCTGGATTTTTTTTCACTTTAAATTTTATTCCATTTTCAAGTACAGTAGAACCTCAATTATCCGGACTAATTTGGGATGAAGGTAGTCCGGATAAGGAAAAATCCGGATAATCGAAAAAATACTTTAATTTGTCTTTTAATGATAATACAACACGTTTTCTTTTCGATGACATATCGATAATATTAAAAGTAAATGCTGTATTTAAATTGTGATCAAATTTTCAAGAAACAAATGTTCGTATTGAATTTCGACTACTACTGACCAACGCTAACAGACTACCTATTGTTTAAAAGGCCCTCTGGTGGAGCAAGAAGACGGATTTTATAAAATAAAAAGCAGTTGAAACTGCATTTTTATGAATAAAAATTTGACAAACTATTTATCGTTTTACGACGAGTAAAATTTTTTCGTCGCGTTCACGGCTTTTAAGTAATGCATAAACCTTCGAGGCGCGAGGCATAGGCGGTGGCCCATGTTGTCCATGCCTTACGCTGCCCTTGGTCATAGAAATGATGTAATTTGAATATAAATTATTTATAAATATGTATGTCAAGTTATATTTTTATTACTACGTAAAATATATTTAAGAGTTTACGACCACTGTGCTGGGTGAGACATTGTTGAAACAAAAAATGTTATGCATTCCATCACGTACATAAACAGTGTCATAATTCGCCAAGTGCAAATCAGCAAATTCGTAAAATTTTTTGTTTATTTTGAACAATCCGGATAATCGAAAATCCGGATAATGGAGGTTCTACTGTATCTTCAAAATTGCTAAATTCAAGAGAATATTTCACATGTAGACCATCAGTTCCTCTNCAGTGTCGTAATTCGCCAAGTGCAAATCAGCAAATTCGTAAAATTTTTGCTTATTTTGAACAATCCGGATAATCGAAAATCCGGATAATGGAGGTTCTACTGTATCTTCAAAATTGCTAAATTCAAGAGAATATTTCACATGTAGACCATCAGTTCCTCTTTCTTACTTCAATGAGCATGGTGTACAGCTCAAGATCCCAATCACCATTCAGATCTGCATTTGTACCCTTTCAAAGCATCCTTTAAAATTTAAATTAATGTTAAATTATATAAGTATTTAGTCAAATCGTCCATAAATATCAGTTATTTTTCAACATTAATGGTGAATCACCATTAACATTGAAAGGTAAACTTCATTAACAAAATAAGCTCGAGAACTTGCTTTAATTACCAAATAACTTCTTTATGCTCTTTAATTAACATTTACGACAATAAAAATAAAATTATTCTAAATTAAATTACACTTCTTCACTGATAAATTTAGCCTGTTTCACAAAAACATACGAATTTCAATACATAAAGCGTGAAGATTAAGTATCTTTATCTTATACAAATTACAAAAATAATACTTTATATATCAAATCTAATTTATAAATAACTAGATTTGCTACATTTAAACAACAGATTAATAGAAAATACCTTCGATCAGTTGGATTTAAAATAAGATACGGTATCCAACAACGTCTACCACACGACGACAATATGGCAGGTTAAAGAAGTGTTGCCAGATTGGCGTGGTTAAAGTTTTAAAATTCTTCCAAAAAATAGCCAAAATAAATTTCTAACTTCTTTAAAATTATTATTATTTAATGAAATTGATAATAATATAAATTAAGTTCATTTAATATATAAATTTTAAGCAAAATATTTACATATATTCATATATATGAAATGTATATATCTATGAAAAAAAAAAATCCAAGTGTGCCGACTCCGCTGTCAAGCGGGACAAAGGACAAAGAGGAAGTATATAATGAAAATAATACTTAATTTAATTTTCTATCAAAATTATATTTTAATATTGAAAATATAATAAATTTTTGGGGTACATACAACGAGCTAGAATATACTATATAGAGTGGCTGTAGAGACGCCATGTTGAAAGGAAATTGAATATACGTTCACCATTTTCCTTTTAGTCAAAGGAGCGTGCCATTTCTGTTGCGTAAAGGTGACAAGCTAGAATATTCTAATTCGTTGTGTAAAAGTGTGCAAAGGAAAAAGAGGAGTTTTAACTAAAATATAAGTAAATTGTTATGAGTTTTCTCTATTAATAGATATATACAACGCGATATTTTCAATGTTATAAAAGCGAGCAAATGAACGGCTCTTACACTGCTTAATAGAAATCTAGTAATCGAACGATTTTAGATTATTTCAAGATTGTTAAATCACATTTTGTTTATTTAACAGTACAATGTTTTGTACTATTTCTGACATCTATTGCTCTTGCAAATATCAAAAAAGTTTCCCCACATTGTTTGTTTATTAAGTTACGGCAACGTAACAATTGGGCGATGTGCCTAGGGAGATGCCTTCCGGGAGCTATTTTTAAGGGTAACTGGCCCCTATTTAGGCATTACAGATGTGGAGAAAACCTTGAAAACTCCATGTGGCTAGCCCGTCCTGGCGAAGCGCAAACCCACTACCGAAATCCTAGTATTCAAAGAACAGTAACGCTTGGCCACTGGTGGGCCGTTTCCAACATTGATAATTTACATTTTTGCACATTTTACCTATAATGGTCAAACGTATTTTGTATTTTAAATTAATATAAAAGTATAAGTATACTTATAAGTATTAATATAATTAATAATTAACAATTATAATTATTATATTAATAATTAATATTAATATTAATATTAATTAATATTATATTAATAATTATAATTAATAATTATAAGTATACTTATAAGTATAAGTATAAGTATTAGTATAAGTATACTTTTTACATAGAATTAATTGATAATTACAATTTAAACAACGTGTTTTTTGTTCTTGTTGGCACGCGCAGAAAACAATGGATTCAACAATAAACAACAAGAAGAAAAACAAATTCTGTCTAACAACATCTATTGTATTATTTTAATAATAAATAGTAAGAGAATGAAAGAGATTAAACACATTTTCGTGTATATTTCTCTTTTGTTACTTAACACAAAAATAACTCTATATATCAAAATGGAAAAACAGAAGATGGTCATCTATCACAATAACGAAGTGCCGAGTGGAGGGTTAATTGTATAAAGATTTTATCTTTATAGACGTTCCTTTCTTTTAATGACAGAAAAATATCTAAGGGTTTTCCGAGGCTATACGCTTCAAAAAAGTAGAGTTAGGATGCTTTCTATATAGCACCTGCTAATGATATGCCACAAAACTGTATTAATTAATGAGGTCTGAGAATAAGCAAAGAATGGGAACAATGTTACAATGAATGCTTATATATTATGAGAGATTAAATCAATTTCGTGTGCAGATTTTTATGTGGAATTTTGTAATTTGGACAAGGATCCTCTTATAATTTATGGGCTAATTCAAATCCGGATCATCATGGGATTCTGGTTTGAATTCTGTTTACCTTCGGACAATCTATTCATTTAATATAAAGAAATACAATTATCCCTCCATTAACTGAACGAAAACGGAAAAATAAGTTAAAACTGCTAAGATATTGACTGATAACAAAAACAAAGGCGTTATGTCAATTTGACGTCACTTCCTTATTTTTATAACGAACGAGTTTAAGTATGACGTCAGAATGACGTAAAATTCGTACTATCGGAAGTCAACAAAGTCACGTGACTTCAGATAAGTTAACGCTTATCTGATTATCACGAGATTTTTATATTAATGTTAATTGATTAGTTGGTGTTTATAATTATAAAGATATAAGATAATAATTATTTTTAAAATAATCACGAAATTTTCGACCCACAATTCCCAGCATTAAAAATGGCTGCCATATTAGCTTTGAAAGATTATGGAAGTAGCGAAAGCGAAGACGATAAGGAGGAGAACGGCGACAAATTGCAGTCTCTGTATTCGAAATATACAATAAATTCCGCACCGGACGTCGTGAGTAACGATTACGGACGTGATATACACGCGGTGGATCCCACGTCCAAGGTTTTGAGTTACAACCCCAAGTTCGATCAGTTGTATGCCCCAGTTTTGGGTCCAGAAAACCCATTTAAGACACAACAGCAAAGAGCTGATAAAAACATGCTGTCGGGATTCGTAGAAGCTGCACACGTTAATGATTTCCACTTCGAATCCCAACGCAGAACATTCGCTAGTTATGGCTATGCTCTAGATCCTACAGTTGACACTCAGAAGGAAGCCCAATTGATTGGTAAATTGGAAGGAAATCCAGAAGTTGGTGTGACAGTTTTCGAGAAAATTAAAGCTAGAGAAGGGGATAAACGCAAGAGGTTAAAGAACTCTGATCCGTCGGATATTGAAGGCTTCCTGGGCCCCTGGGCCGCCTACGAAGATGAGAAACGCAACATCAAACCGACTCCGGAAGAACAGGAGGAACTGAACGAGATTATAGCCAAGAGACAGAAGCGAGGTAAACAGACGGACGATAAACCGATGGAGGAGAAGACGATACTGCACATAAAAGATCCTTACGATTATCAGGGAAGGTCGTTCCTGAACATCCCGTTAGATGTCGGCGTTAATCTGAAGTCGGAAGATCCGCCGGAAAAGTGCTTCATACCGAAGAAACTCATTCATACCTGGAGCGGTCACACCAAAGGAATTTCGGCGATTCGTTGGTTTCCCAAATCCGGTCATTTGTTGCTCTCGTGCAGCATGGATTGTAAAGTTAAGTTGTGGGAGGTTTATAATGAAAGAAGATGCATTAGAACTTACAATGGACATAGACAGGCCGTCCGGGACATTAGTTTTAACAACGGCGGAACCAAGTTTCTTTCTGCGGGTTACGATAGGTATGTGAAATTGTGGGATACGGAAACGGGAGAATGTCTTACTCGTTTTACTAATCGTAAAATAGCTTACTGTGTGAAGTTTAATCCCGATGATGACAAACAGCATCTCTTTGTTGCCGGAACGTCGGATAAAAAGATTGTTTGCTGGGATATTCGTTCCGGAGAAATAGTGCAGGAATACGATAGACATCTCGGTGCCGTCAACACAATAACGTTTGTCGATGAAAATCGTCGATTTGTATCTACGTCAGATGACAAGAGTATGAGAGTTTGGGAATGGGACATTCCAGTCGACATGAAGTACATTGCCGATCCTACTATGCACTCGATGCCTGCCGTTACGCTCTCTCCAAATGGTAAATGGTTAGCTTGTCAGTCGATGGATAACAAAATCATGATTTTTTCTGCATTAAATCGTTTCAAATTAAACAGAAAGAAAACTTTTACTGGACACATGGTTGCCGGATACGCATGTAGTTTGGATTTTTCTCCGGACATGAGTTATCTAATATCTGGCGATGCCGACGGAAAAGTTTATATTTGGGATTGGAAAACAACAAAACTCTATACCAAATTTAAAGCTCACGATAATGTTTGTATCGGAGCACTTTGGCACCCTCACGAAACATCTAAAGTGGCCACGGCTGGATGGGATAACGTCATAAAGTTTTGGGACTAAAACAATAAATGTAAATATTTTAAATTGTGTATAAGTGTTAAAAAAAAATAAAAGTGCATAAAACGATTCTGTTGACACAAATGTTTTGATAAAATGTATTTGTAAATGTTAATTTTAGAAATATTTTTTATAGATATTCTATATAAAAATCTCATTCTGGTTAAAATATATATTTTAGCTAGAATGTGAGTGTGATAAAAATGCAAGTTAGTGTTCAATGTTTCTAAATATTAAATATATTCATGAAGTAATGTAAGAATCACAATTAATATTCAAAACATTTTTTGCAGGATATTTCATTGTAATTAACATAAAGACATTAAAGAATTTTACATTTAAATTGTTGACATTTATGCATTATAAATTTTTTGCAAATTAATACGAATTTCTGCAATATTTTGAAATTATATTTTAGATTATATAATTCCATTGTTGAAATTATAATAGAAGTGCAAAATTTTTTTCATATTATTAATTATATTAACTTAGCAGCTATAAATAAAGCCACATTTTCAACTTTTAAGCAGAATACTTAAGATGCTAAGTACTGTGTTATTTTTAAAACTATAAACTAAGCTAAGTTATAAATAATAGATAAACTTAAAGAATTAATTACTTAATTGTCTAAAATTCTTTTTTAAAAGTTGAAAGTTATAATAATTTTATACAAAATTTGTTAAAGTACTGGTAAAAAAAATTCATATATTCTATGGACAATAGAAAAGGAATCTGAAGTTGTGTGTCATCATGCAGTTTGTATATTTACATTCTTGTGGCTTCTTCCTATCTTACCAAGTATGAGCATCTTTCCTATGAATGTGCCACTCCATAACTTTTATTCCAATTAAAACTGTAATTGTATAAAACTAGTGACTTGATAATAGATAAAACTTATTTAACCGAATTTTAGGATATTCTAAAATGAATAGCTTATACCAGTTTGTTATTGCCATTCAATAATCTGTAAATTGGGTTATATGACAATAAAAAATTTTCTGCTATAGGATGATTCCTGTGGCAGTTATCTGCAACCTTTTCTTGTGCATGGTATACTTCCCAAAATTCTGTGGAACACCACAAGTAAAAATATAGGAGTTACAAAATACTGATTTACTGTTTTTTTACTTGTATAATATAAAAATATTTGAAATTAGTTTATAATTGATATTTTGATTTCATTTCTTAACTTTGAAACCACTGAATGAAATATAGTGTGAAAAAAACATGATTTGGGTTTTATGATTGTAAGTGCATGCTGCAGAGATGTCGGTTACTTGGCATTTCATAAAAATTGAGAGGGTGACTGTCACTCATGCTTTGCCAAATTTAAATGTATGCAGATTTAGTCAAATAGGATACACTATGTAAACATGAGTTTGTGAGTAAACACATGTATTGTACATATTTCAAATTTTGAAGCTTGTTAGAATTCCTTCTGTCACAAATGTCAGTGGCAATAAAGATGTAATAAGCAAATCATTGTTCCATTTGAATTAACATGTATTTATCATATTTATGCACCCACCATAAACTCTCCTTTTCCTCTTGGTTGCATTGTGCTGTGGTACATCTGGCATCATCTTGTGGCACACCAATTATGGAGCTCTGCTTATAGAACAAACTGCAGTAGGGATTCACTTTCAATCATTTTTAAATTCTCGTGCTTCAGTTCATTTTAAATACAGTTTGAATAATAAGCAATAACAGCTCATAAAATAGCATATTCTAAAGAAGAATGTATCTTCATTGTGTATAAGATCCTGTGATTCCTATTGTTCAACAGTTTAAGACAAAGTTTAACTTCTGAAAAGTTTCATCAAAGTTAATAAGTGAGTTGACATGGAAATGAAACTACAGGATTCTGTGTATGAACTCAGGAAACATCAACCACCAATGCCAGAAGCTGATGTTTGATGTTGCCAGACTATAAAAGTCTCCTCAAAAATTTGTATGCTGATATCTCAGGAAATAGGATACTCTTACTTGAAGCAAAAAAAAGGCAAGGAAAGCACAGCTGGAATGCTACAGAATAATACTTATGCATCAGCTGTTGGAACCTGATAAGGCAAACAGGGTGATTTTGTCTATGGTTACAAGAGCTGCTATGCAGAATGCTGGAGTACTTGAAATAACATGGCTTCATCTGTCAGGATACATGAAATCTAAAAATTCCAGATTTGGGCTGTTGCAAATTTTCATGACATTCAGGGATCTGCAGAAAGTGAGAGTATGGTGTGTTGTATCTGGTCAAAGAATTACCAGGCTCATTTTCTTCTTAGAATCAGTAATTGAAGCATCGAGAGTACATACAGTATGTATAGTGGTCAGGGTATAGGGGACCATTTAGCTTCTTAGTTTGCCCCCTTTGCCTTGATTACTTTTCTTTTAAACAAATGAAATATGTAGGATGTTTATTAGTGAAAAAAATCAGTCTTAAGCAATTTTGTTGTTAGTAAACATTAATTTATGGGCATAGGATCCCTTCAGCTCCTCCTCTCAATGTCTTTGTTTAAATATCAGATGGCTAAAAGTTAGTTAGCGTAGCAAAAAAAAAAAAGAATTGCTAAGCAATGCAAATACTTTTTTATCTAAAAAGTTTGCAAAAATTGTTTAAAATCAGATCCTTCTTATTTGATAGACAAATTATAATAATTTGCTGTACTGTACACGCTAATTTTCTTGCAAAAATGGCTGAATAACTTAGTTAACTGACTGTTAGGCCAACCTGTATATTAAGAGTAGATAAAAATTAAAAAATTCACATTAGAATTAAAAATGATTATATACACACAAGTCCCATAAAACTGGAATCATAGGAGTTATATTGATCTTTGTTTATTCTATTACAGGTAAAGCAAAGTAAAGAGGAATAAATTCAAGTAATTTTGATGGTGGGGGACCTGCAGTTAGCAAAAATTCATAAAAAAAAAAGTTTAACAGGCTGCATCCAGTTTTTTAATATCACAATCACATACACTAGTCTGGATGCAGCTAATTAAACTTTTTGATGACTTTCATTGACTATAAATCCCACACCATCAAAATAACTTGAACTCATTCCTTCTTATTCAACACCATGTTTTATCTGTAAAAGAATAAACAAAGATCAATGTAACTCCTATGGTTCCAGACTAATGGGACATCATGTAATTTGTTTTATTGATGGATAGGAGAAAAATAACACAGTACTTTCCTAACATTTTCAAATTCTGGCTCTTTGACTATAAAAAAAAAATTTAAAATGTAGATTGCAACTTCTAATTTTTGCTGTTTTTGTTAAAAAAGAGCACATTTTACGTCAATTTGACGTCACTCCTATACGTTTGTAAGGATCGAAATTAAAAAATGACGTCAAATTGACGTAAAATGCAAACTATCTCAAAAAATAAATGTTTAATTTAGATATTAATTTGACGAAGTAATTTCTTAATATTAATTTAATCTAAATTTTAATATAAATTTAATTTTAAAAGAAAAATGCATTTTTAATGAAAATATATTTATTGATATATTTATACAGTAATATCAATAAGTAAATATTAATTATTATTATTTTTTAGTTTATAATTTTTAAAAGTAAAAATGAACATTTATTTATGTTTTTAGATCACAAAATATTCTGTTATTAAATTATTTTTTAAGATGATCGATACGGCGGCTCCGTGAAAATTCTGTTAAAAAATTCGTTTAAATAATTATCAATTTTAAAACATTAAAAAAATTTATAATTTGTATTTTTATCGTGTAATTTGTCACAAATGAAATAAAATAAAGTCCGAAATTAAAAGTAATTGACAAAATTAATTTGAAAAATGACGCATGCGCCGTTTTAACCTGTAACACGTTGGTTTTGTTTATCAAACGTGTAATCGATCGATGGAGTTGTCTGTTTATGATATTTTACATAAAATGGCTTTTAATTTTGGTTAAACATGAACTTAATTCTTTTAGAAAGGCTGAAGAGAGGGCAGATATTTTCTTACTTAATTATTTTATTTATTTTATTCAGAGGAACCGTACCATGTGAGTGAATGTCCCTTTAAATCTCTGTTTATTCACTTTTTTTATTATCATTATCATCCATTAGTTCTTCATTCACAGATTTTATCATCATCATCATCATTATTCATAGATTTATCATCTTCAGCATTTATTTATGGTCATTATCATCATTATCAATCATTCATAGATTTATCATCATCATCATAGATGCAAATTATGAAGTATTAAAAATTATTTCTATATTAATATAGAAGTTTTAACATACATCAATAATTTCAGCCAGTTTTTTTTTCACTTTATTTTCTATTATGGATTATTTTTCTTAAAATTACTGAAAATATAAGATACTTGCAGAATTATTTGGACATGCATCAATTTCTATAAGGAACAACTATAGCACACATAATTTAGTCTCATAAAAGGCAATGTAACACAATTTACCTCATAGAAAGAAGTGTGTATTTATATACTGTAGCCGCAACAATGAGCAACTGTATCTGTTGTAGTCACACAAGAATAAACATTACGCATCACTGTAATCACAGTGATAAGTGTTGCTCCTTACTAATGATAATAATAATAATAGTAATTAGTTTTTTTTTAATTTACAGCTATAAAGGATATTTTAAATGAATGTCCTAAGCGAGCGTATATAACCTGAACATTGTTACGTAAGCTGAAAATAGAACTAAATAATAACAAAAATAATGTTAAATCAATGTTGTTTTATTTTGAATCTTATAAATAATTACATCTTAGATTAGTGAATTGTATAAATTAAAATTATTTCAATGGTACTGTATTATTTTATTAATAAATACATATATCTTTTTTCTTCAGATAATACAAATTTTCAATTCTGGGCTGAAATATTGACAGTAAAAATTCCTCCTCTAGGAAGTATTGATGTAAGTTAAAATCTATGATAACTCTATAAATTTAGCACACATTTAGCTTATTATTGAAACTGTTCTAAATGTGAGCATGTGGAAGTAACAGAGGACATGAATAGAAATTATTAAAATATAAAAGATTTTACTAAAGAAATTTATGTAAGCTCATAAATCTCCTTAATAATATGTTGTATATTTTGTAATTTATGTATTGTTCCTCTATATTATTTCCACACTGGATATGCACATATTTATGACAGTTTCAATTTTAAATGTAAAGTTGTGTATGCATTCAATTTTATTTTTGTTTCATCTGGGCCAATGATGTCCATTTAAAATGGAAGAAAACATTTGTTTTCTTTAAAATATAGCTATTTAGCTTAATTTGTCATAATAAATAAGATCATGTGACTGAAAGAACAGAAATCTTTCATGTTGTTAGTGTTTTTGTCAAATAACAAAGCATCAAAAAAATTATACTTTCATGTTAATCTTGAATGCACATCTTCAACCATATAATTTTTCAGGAATTTCTAGAATATCTTTTTAATTAAATAGAAATAATTAGCATTAAGAATATCTACTATGATTAATTTAATTCAATTATAATGCATCAGAATATTATGATTCTTATATAAAGAGTCTTCCAAAACGAATGCTACCATTTTAAATTATTGTATTTATGTTAATTAGTATTTAAAAACATTGTAATGTACATCAAAACATTGGAAAATGGCCCAAGTTTTACATTTGCCTATTACATTTTCTCAATTCATGCATCTCATGTCACACATCACCCATCTGAACAATAATAAAATTTTTCTATGCTTGCTACATCATATCTGTTGTTACTTCTGCCGTAGTAGCCACAATTCTTTAGCTTCTGCAGATTACTATGTCCCCTGATGATGATTGATTTCAACTTTGCAAACTGCAGAACACAAAACGTCTTCTCTTGCAAGTTGCCATCTTTGTTTATGGCACTTTCTAGGATAGTGGGCAAAGATGGCTACTCCACAGATATCATTTATAATTTGTAAGGAAATATTTCTTTTACAAATAAATATAAAAATATTATCTTAACTCTTTACTCTGTGAGCAACGAGAAGACTTTTTCCATACCTTTATGCTTATCCAAGATGATAATGGGTATTGTTTGATGATGAGGGATGGGCTCAAAATATCACTGGGAACTTCAGAAATTTTTGTGGATGATTGAACTAGTGAAAATTGTAGAAGTTTTCACCAGGACTTTGAACCCAGTCCTCAGAACAGTAAGCTGATGGCTAGCCTCAGCCGTCTAGCTATCAATGAAAGTATTTAATTTTATGCAAGTTTGTATTGTATATTCTTTTGTACTTTTTAATATTATCTATGTGAAATAAGCAGTTTAAATATAATAAATTAATGGATAAAACTGAATTTAGGTGTTAATAAGATCATATAATATTCATATATCCACAAAAAATTACTAGAATGAAAACTGCATAACCCACCCACTCCACTATACTCTGCACTTTTGAGAGTAGCCATTGCTCCATAGCAATGGCTACTCTCAAAAGCAAATGCATAACTCACACCTGCTTTCAATGTATATTTTAATTAGAGATAATTTTCAGGTTATATACTTAAAATAAGAATTACTTAAAGTGATTCTTATTTTTATATTAATTAATTTATATACTTTATTATAGCATAACTTAAAAAGGATTATTCTGTATCATATATTTAATAATATGTGTATACACTGAACTCCTGATTATCCATAATATTAGTTCATTGGTCGGTGTGGAAAACCGGAAAACATGGATAATCCAAAACAGCCCTCTAAAGTATAAAAAAACTATTTAGCAGTTTTAAATGAACTTAATTTGCAAAATCTCAACTCTATTATAATGCAATGCAAGTGTGAGTTTCGTGTTTCATATGTATATTTAGTCACTAAACCTAAAATACATTTCTTCTATTTTCAAAGATATTGTGTAGAAATTTAAATTTTACATTTCTATGCATAATTATTATATTTTTTCTAAATTACTGTATTTTATTCTACTCACATCAGTTTTTCAGACTGGAGTGTGAGTATACAGTATCAAAACACATTGCAGAATCAAAAATAACTCCAGTAAGTAACCACGGACAGAAGTACTAATGTTTTCGATCCTTAACGCGGATCTTCTTTGGGTGAAAGGTTTTGAATCGGAATGCTTTTTGAATAGTGTTGCATTCGATGCATTTTGAATATCATTCCAATACAATATTCAACATTATTTGAAATGTATTGATTACAACAATATTTGAAAAGCATTCTGATTCAAAACCTTTGACCTAAAAATGATCCATGGAAAGGATCAAAAATGTTAGTCCTTCTATGTGTTTATTTACTGAAGTTATTTGGTTTTGTGGGCCCACCAGTGGCCAAGTGGTTCCATTCCCTGAACACCGGAAGTTTGGTTTTGGGTTTGCACCTCACCCCGACAGGCTGGCCACGTGGAATTTTCTGGGTTTCCTCCACATCTGTAATGCCTGAATGGGGACTAGTTACTCTTAAAAAGACCTCCCAGAAGGCATTTCCCCTAGGCAGATTACCCAAGTGTTGTATTAACTAAACAAACAAACAAACATTTTTGGTTTTGCAAGGTATTTTAGTACTGTAGTTATACTGTATTTTATGACTAGTAGGATATTTTTTTCAACTGTTTATAGCTTATAAGTGTGACTTTTTCATGTGTATTCTATGAAAAAATTTGTAAAGTTTGGTTGTTTTAGACTGTGTCTTGGAGTGTCAGCTGAGCTTAAAAGTCTACTTTTTATATTGTATACAACTCCCCATATATTACTGTCTACAGAAATGCTGGGCAGAATATTTTGACAATGCACAAATAATTCACACACAGGCAATCAGAAGTTTGTTGTACATGATATAAAATGACATTTGAATGTTCTGTTGATTCTTGATATAACAGACTAATCGAGAAGTGATGATCTGACACTACCAGTTGTCTTTTATATCTGTTATGTCATAATTATTACAAAATGGGGTCCATAAAATCAAGGATCGACAGTAAATATTATTTGTTTATTATAACATTGAAATAATTTTAGATTGTGATAATTTCTTTCTAATCAATATTAATACCAAATGAATTTTATTAATTAACATTTCTATTAACAGGCATTCTTAGAAGGAATTTTGTTACAGACTTCGAATCCACAATGCAAAATAAACGTATTTCAAAATTACACGAAGATGATAACTGTTAAGGAGAAATTGAAGTGTGAAGGTGATTAATTTTATATGAATTTTTCTTCATATTTATCATAACAATAAAATTTTATTTTGAGTTTGTGTAAAAGTTGAAGGTAAAAAATCTGTAATGTTTAATATATAAGAATAACCAGGTTTAGCGGTTCGGCTAAAACCTGTCGAAGCGTTTCGATAGAATTTGTCCGAGTTTGATCCTACCTCGTATGGCAATAGCTTCAGCTTGACCACGTGTCTTATGTCCTTTGTTCGTCGGTCAAGATCAAGGAAGACACTGATTCTGAAGGAATACCTTATTTTTATTCCCGTGACTATGAATATTTACAAACGTTTTTAAGTTAAATTACTATACAAATGCGCGTTCGTTGGTGGAGTTGATTCCGAGAGATTGGTGAAACCAAAGCGAAAGGTCGGCATAACGAGAGCGTCTCTCCTATTCGGTGTCCGAGGACCAAGTGAGGTCAGAGGGGAAAGGTCAAGCGGTGGCACCCTCTGCCGTACACAGGAAATGTCATGTGAAAATGGAATATATGCTTATTTTTTTACTTTCCTGGTTCTGTTATATATAACAGAGGGAAAGTATGGCAATTGGTCAAAAATGACCCCCAAGATTTTTACATCTTTCAGCTTGGGGAACATGTAAAAAGTTTTTAATTATATATACAAAATTTGGAATTGCTTTCAACTATATGAACCAATTCAATCTGAAATTCATTTAATGAAATTATGATGATTTTTAGACTATTTGATGTTATAAATTTAATAATATATATTGAAATTTGGACTAGAAGCTCTGCCATCATTTATGGCAATATTTGCTTTGTTGTTCATTCTTTAATAATGAAATTTAAATTTATTAAAGTATAACTCATCAAAAATTTAGAATAGGATGTATTTTTATTGTTATATGTTCTAAATATTAAAACTAATGTAAGTTTTCATTTAATTTTTTTAGGTTTATCTAAAACTCAGCAGCAAAATAATTGGCAAATGACAGTACTTGAAAAGGTTAGTTGAACTGTGTTAAACTGTGTGATTCTTGAAAATAATAATCAAAATTATTTAAATTATAAACTGTTTAGTATTTATAACATATGATTTTTTAAATATGTCCTGTTAAACATTTAAATTATATCATTTTATTAGAACAAAAGGGTAATTTTCTCATCTATATGAATCAATGATTAATGTGGATTTATAAAAAAATTACTGATGCATTTAGTTTGAAGTGTTTGTAGATCTTAAATTGAGATAGGTGAATAACATAAATTGAGAATCTAAACTGGAAATGCTAGACAAACTTTCTTTATTCCGGCAAGTATATTTTCTTGTTAATAGAGGTGAATAATGTCTGTATTGATCTATTAGTTTGAAAGTATTGCCTTTTAAATTTTTAATTTGTTGTTGGAATACATTGCTAGACCAATATGCCATTTCCTTTATGTTTTTATACTGTTTATTTTCAAGTTGAATTCTTAAATTCAGAAAACAAAATATCTATCAGTCAAAATACAATTTACACTGAATAAACACTTTTGCTAATTGAATTACCATCAGTTCCAAATTAATACAAAAAAAAAAAGAAATTAGATTTTAGAACTTCAGTAACAAGCTAAATATGCTTGATTTAAAAATTATTCAAATCTACAAATGTCATATTGGGTATATTTTAAAATATTATTTATGCGTATTTGCATAAAACTACTGTATTTTTTGCGTAATTTGCGTAAAACTATGGCTTGGGAATCACAGATCTGCATAACATTATGGCTGGTGATGGCTAATTGGTCGGCTGGGAATCACGCTACATGACATTTGCATAGTGCTATGGTTCAGTAAGAACTAATTGGTCATCGAGCCCGATGTCAACACTATAAAAAAGTTAAGTTGAAGTGAGAGTGGGAAGTCCACTCCAGCATGGGAACTTCGTAAGTTCAGTTTGACATGACCGGATATATGTCACTCTTGTCTAAGTTCGACTTGGAAATTTTTTTGTTCAATAATAAATGTGAATTCTTCTTCATNTTTATCGTGTAATTTGTCACAAATGAAATAAAATAAAGTCCGAAATTAAAAGTAATTGACAAAATTAATTTGAAAAATGACGCATGCGCCGTTTTAACCTGTAACACGTTGGTTTTGTTTATCAAACGTGTAATCGATCGATGGAGTTGTCTGTTTATGATATTTTACATAAAATGGCTTTTAATTTTGGTTAAACATGAACTTAATTCTTTTAGAAAGGCTGAAGAGAGGGCAGATATTTTCTTACTTAATTATTTTATTTATTTTATTCAGAGGAACCGTACCATGTGAGTGAATGTCCCTTTAAATCTCTGTTTATTCACTTTTTTTTTATCATTATCATCCATTAGTTCTTCATTCACAGATTTTATCATCATCATCATCATCATCATCATTATTCATAGATTTATCATCTTCAGCATTTATTTATGGTCATTATCATCATTATCAATCATTCATAGATTTATCATCATCATCATAGATGCAAATTATGAAGTATTAAAAATTATTTCTATATTAATATAGAAGTTTTAACATACATCAATAATTTCAGCCAGTTTTTTTTTCACTTTATTTTCTATTATGGATTATTTTTCTTAAAATTACTGAAAATATAAGATACTTGCAGAATTATTTGGACATGCATCAATTTCTATAAGGAACAACTATAGCACACATAATTTAGTCTCATAAAAGGCAATGTAACACAATTTACCTCATAGAAAGAAGTGTGTATTTATATACTGTAGCCGCAACAATGAGCAACTGTATCTGTTGTAGTCACACAAGAATAAACATTACGCATCACTGTAATCACAGTGATAAGTGTTGCTCCTTACTAATGATAATAATAATAATAGTAATTAGTTTTTTTTTAATTTACAGCTATAAAGGATATTTTAAATGAATGTCCTAAGCGAGCGTATATAACCTGAACATTGTTACGTAAGCTGAAAATAGAACTAAATAATAACAAAAATAATGTTAAATCAATGTTGTTTTATTTTGAATCTTATAAATAATTACATCTTAGATTAGTGAATTGTATAAATTAAAATTATTTCAATGGTACTGTATTATTTTATTAATAAATACATATATCTTTTTTCTTCAGATAATACAAATTTTCAATTCTGGGCTGAAATATTGACAGTAAAAATTCCTCCTCTAGGAAGTATTGATGTAAGTTAAAATCTATGATAACTCTATAAATTTAGCACACATTTAGCTTATTATTGAAACTGTTCTAAATGTGAGCATGTGGAAGTAACAGAGGACATGAATAGAAATTATTAAAATATAAAAGATTTTACTAAAGAAATTTATGTAAGCTCATAAATCTCCTTAATAATATGTTGTATATTTTGTAATTTATGTATTGTTCCTCTATATTATTTCCACACTGGATATGCACATATTTATGACAGTTTCAATTTTAAATGTAAAGTTGTGTATGCATTCAATTTTATTTTTGTTTCATCTGGGCCAATGATGTCCATTTAAAATGGAAGAAAACATTTGTTTTCTTTAAAATATAGCTATTTAGCTTAATTTGTCATAATAAATAAGATCATGTGACTGAAAGAACAGAAATCTTTCATGTTGTTAGTGTTTTTGTCAAATAACAAAGCATCAAAAAAATTATACTTTCATGTTAATCTTGAATGCACATCTTCAACCATATAATTTTTCAGGAATTTCTAGAATATCTTTTTAATTAAATAGAAATAATTAGCATTAAGAATATCTACTATGATTAATTTAATTCAATTATAATGCATCAGAATATTATGATTCTTATATAAAGAGTCTTCCAAAACGAATGCTACCATTTTAAATTATTGTATTTATGTTAATTAGTATTTAAAAACATTGTAATGTACATCAAAACATTGGAAAATGGCCCAAGTTTTACATTTGCCTATTACATTTTCTCAATTCATGCATCTCATGTCACACATCACCCATCTGAACAATAATAAAATTTTTCTATGCTTGCTACATCATATCTGTTGTTACTTCTGCCGTAGTAGCCACAATTCTTTAGCTTCTGCAGATTACTATGTCCCCTGATGATGATTGATTTCAACTTTGCAAACTGCAGAACACAAAACGTCTTCTCTTGCAAGTTGCCATCTTTGTTTATGGCACTTTCTAGGATAGTGGGCAAAGATGGCTACTCCACAGATATCATTTATAATTTGTAAGGAAATATTTCTTTTACAAATAAATATAAAAATATTATCTTAACTCTTTACTCTGTGAGCAACGAGAAGACTTTTTCCATACCTTTATGCTTATCCAAGATGATAATGGGTATTGTTTGATGATGAGGGATGGGCTCAAAATATCACTGGGAACTTCAGAAATTTTTGTGGATGATTGAACTAGTGAAAATTGTAGAAGTTTTCACCAGGACTTTGAACCCAGTCCTCAGAACAGTAAGCTGATGGCTAGCCTCAGCCGTCTAGCTATCAATGAAAGTATTTAATTTTATGCAAGTTTGTATTGTATATTCTTTTGTACTTTTTAATATTATCTATGTGAAATAAGCAGTTTAAATATAATAAATTAATGGATAAAACTGAATTTAGGTGTTAATAAGATCATATAATATTCATATATCCACAAAAAATTACTAGAATGAAAACTGCATAACCCACCCACTCCACTATACTCTGCACTTTTGAGAGTAGCCATTGCTCCATAGCAATGGCTACTCTCAAAAGCAAATGCATAACTCACACCTGCTTTCAATGTATATTTTAATTAGAGATAATTTTCAGGTTATATACTTAAAATAAGAATTACTTAAAGTGATTCTTATTTTTATATTAATTAATTTATATACTTTATTATAGCATAACTTAAAAAGGATTATTCTGTATCATATATTTAATAATATGTGTATACACTGAACTCCTGATTATCCATAATATTAGTTCATTGGTCGGTGTGGAAAACCGGAAAACATGGATAATCCAAAACAGCCCTCTAAAGTATAAAAAAACTATTTAGCAGTTTTAAATGAACTTAATTTGCAAAATCTCAACTCTATTATAATGCAATGCAAGTGTGAGTTTCGTGTTTCATATGTATATTTAGTCACTAAACCTAAAATACATTTCTTCTATTTTCAAAGATATTGTGTAGAAATTTAAATTTTACATTTCTATGCATAATTATTATATTTTTTCTAAATTACTGTATTTTATTCTACTCACATCAGTTTTTCAGACTGGAGTGTGAGTATACAGTATCAAAACACATTGCAGAATCAAAAATAACTCCAGTAAGTAACCACGGACAGAAGTACTAATGTTTTCGATCCTTAACGCGGATCTTCTTTGGGTGAAAGGTTTTGAATCGGAATGCTTTTTGAATAGTGTTGCATTCGATGCATTTTGAATATCATTCCAATACAATATTCAACATTATTTGAAATGTATTGATTACAACAATATTTGAAAAGCATTCTGATTCAAAACCTTTGACCTAAAAATGATCCATGGAAAGGATCAAAAATGTTAGTCCTTCTATGTGTTTATTTACTGAAGTTATTTGGTTTTGTGGGCCCACCAGTGGCCAAGTGGTTCCGTTCCCTGAACACCGGAAGTTTGGTTTTGGGTTTGCACCTCACCCCGACAGGCTGGCCACGTGGAATTTTCTGGGTTTCCTCCACATCTGTAATGCCTGAATGGGGACTAGTTACTCTTAAAAAGACCTCCCAGAAGGCATTTCCCCTAGGCAGATTACCCAAGTGTTGTATTAACTAAACAAACAAACAAACATTTTTGGTTTTGCAAGGTATTTTAGTACTGTAGTTATACTGTATTTTATGACTAGTAGGATATTTTTTTCAACTGTTTATAGCTTATAAGTGTGACTTTTTCATGTGTATTCTATGAAAAAATTTGTAAAGTTTGGTTGTTTTAGACTGTGTCTTGGAGTGTCAGCTGAGCTTAAAAGTCTACTTTTTATATTGTATACAACTCCCCATATATTACTGTCTACAGAAATGCTGGGCAGAATATTTTGACAATGCACAAATAATTCACACACAGGCAATCAGAAGTTTGTTGTACATGATATAAAATGACATTTGAATGTTCTGTTGATTCTTGATATAACAGACTAATCGAGAAGTGATGATCTGACACTACCAGTTGTCTTTTATATCTGTTATGTCATAATTATTACAAAATGGGGTCCATAAAATCAAGGATCGACAGTAAATATTATTTGTTTATTATAACATTGAAATAATTTTAGATTGTGATAATTTCTTTCTAATCAATATTAATACCAAATGAATTTTATTAATTAACATTTCTATTAACAGGCATTCTTAGAAGGAATTTTGTTACAGACTTCGAATCCACAATGCAAAATAAACGTATTTCAAAATTACACGAAGATGATAACTGTTAAGGAGAAATTGAAGTGTGAAGGTGATTAATTTTATATGAATTTTTCTTCATATTTATCATAACAATAAAATTTTATTTTGAGTTTGTGTAAAAGTTGAAGGTAAAAAATCTGTAATGTTTAATATATAAGAATAACCAGGTTTAGCGGTTCGGCTAAAACCTGTCGAAGCGTTTCGATAGAATTGGTCCGAGTTTGATCCTACCTCGTATGGCAATAGCTTCAGCTTGACCACGTGTCTTATGTCCTTTGTTCGTCGGTCAAGATCAAGAAGACACTGATTCTGAAGGAATACCTTATTTTTATTCCCGTGACTATGAATATTTACAAACGTTTTTAAGTTAAATTACTATACAAATGCGCGTTTGTTGGTGGAGTTGATTCCGAGAGATTGGTGAAACCAAAGCGAAAGGTCGGCGTAACGAGAGCGTCTCTCCTATTCGGTGTCCGAGGACCAAGTGAGGTCAGAGGGGAAAGGTCAAGCGGTGGCACCCTCTGCCCTACACAGGAAATGTCATGTGAAAATGGAAGATATGCTTATTTTTTTACTTTCCTGGTTCTGTTATATATAACAGAGGGAAAGTATGGCAATTGGTCAAAAATGACCCCCAAGATTTTTACATCTTTCAGCTTGGGGAACATGTAAAAAGTTTTTAATTATATATACAAAATTTGGAATTGCTTTCAACTATATGAACCAATTCAATCTGAAATTCATTTAATGAAATTATGATGATTTTTAGACTATTTGATGTCATAAATTTAATAATATATATTGAAATTTGGACTAGAAGCTCTGCCATCATTTATGGCAATATTTGCTTTGTTGTTCATTCTTTAATAATGAAATTTAAATTTATTAAAGTATAACTCATCAAAAATTTAGAATAGGATGTATTTTTATTGTTATATGTTCTAAATATTAAAACTAATGTAAGTTTTCATTTAATTTTTTTAGGTTTATCTAAAACTCAGCAGCAAAATAATTGGCAAATGACAGTACTTGAAAAGGTTAGTTGAACTGTGTTAAACTGTGTGATTCTTGAAAATAATAATCAAAATTATTTAAATTATAAACTGTTTAGTATTTATAACATATGATTTTTTAAATATGTCCTGTTAAACATTTAAATTATATCATTTTATTAGAACAAAAGGGTAATTTTCTCATCTATATGAATCAATGATTAATGTGGATTTATAAAAAAATTACTGATGCATTTAGTTTGAAGTGTTTGTAGATCTTAAATTGAGATAGGTGAATAACATAAATTGAGAATCTAAACTGGAAATGCTAGACAAACTTTCTTTATTCCGGCAAGTATATTTTCTTGTTAATAGAGGTGAATAATGTCTGTATTGATCTATTAGTTTGAAAGTATTGCCTTTTAAATTTTTAATTTGTTGTTGGAATACATTGCTAGACCAATATGCCATTTCCTTTATGTTTTTATACTGTTTATTTTCAAGTTGAATTCTTAAATTCAGAAAACAAAATATCTATCAGTCAAAATACAATTTACACTGAATAAACACTTTTGCTAATTGAATTACCATCAGTTCCAAATTAATACAAAAAAAAAAAGAAATTAGATTTTAGAACTTCAGTAACAAGCTAAATATGCTTGATTTAAAAATTATTCAAATCTACAAATGTCATATTGGGTATATTTTAAAATATTATTTATGCGTATTTGCATAAAACTACTGTATTTTTTGCGTAATTTGCGTAAAACTATGGCTTGGGAATCACAGATCTGCATAACATTATGGCTGGTGATGGCTAATTGGTCGGCTGGGAATCACGCTACATGACATTTGCATAGTGCTATGGTTCAGTAAGAACTAATTGGTCATCGAGCCCGATGTCAACACTATAAAAAAGTTAAGTTGAAGTGAGAGTGGGAAGTCCACTCCAGCATGGGAACTTCGTAAGTTCAGTTTGACATGACCGGATATATGTCACTCTTGTCTAAGTTCGACTTGGAAATTTTTTTGTTCAATAATAAATGTGAATTCTTCTTCATGGAAAAAATAAGACATTTCCTGAAAATAAGACCTAGCGCATCTTTCAGAGCAAAAATTAATATAAGACACTGTCTTATTTTCGGGGAAACATGGTAGCTTGTCTTGATCTCTTTGAATTTGCAAAACCCTGATTTATTCATAAATAACATTTCTATGGGACAAATTTAAACAATATTGATATTTTGATTTTAAAGTTTTCAATAAAAATTTATATTTTAATCAAATTAATTTTTTTCATTTATTTAAAATGTCTGTATTTAGCAACAACTTTAAATATAGTAACTTTGAATAAAAGGAAGCAAATTAAGAATGAGTTAAATTTTTAAATAAATTTTTATTTAATTTAAAATTTAATCAATAATTTCTTTGAATTAAAGTTTTTTTTTTAAATATATAATTAGAATCAAAATAATCAAATGATAATGCTGGATATTTGTACAGACATAACTTGGCTAATTAAATATATCGATATAAAATAACTTGCACTAAAGTTAGACAATTATGTTGCCATCTTGTATTAAATTTAATAGGGTCAAAATTAAACAAATCTTTAATATAACTTTTATTACAAGTACTAATAGTATAAGCATTCACAGAAGATCACCTTAAAATTAAGTGTGAAGTTACATGCTTTTTCCAATGTTTGTACTATTTATTAAAATTCTTTCAGCCCATTTTGCATTACCTTCTTAAGTATGGTCATTGTAGCATTTTATGATGTGAAAGACATTATGTATTATGTGTTTGTTCTTGACAGTAGACCAATCACATGGACAGGGCCAGCTTCATGACTGAGGTAATGAGGCAACTGCCTCAGGTGATAAAAGTGAGACAGTCAATAAGTGATCAAAATGTTCAAAAGAAAAAAAAAAACAAAAATTGGTTTGTCTCAGGCACAAGTTATCATTGAACTAACACTGAAGAAGGAGTCCTATATTGATAGTCTTGGTCACCTCTGTGATATAGTAAGACAAAAGGTAGAGAGCATATTTTTTAATTTAAAATATATACTCTCTACAATAAAATAAAATACTCCTCAAACCTTTAATTGGAGTGCTTCTATTTTTAGAATTCCGAATGTTTTCGTCGCCCCTCCTGGGCTCTCCTTCAGGCTATAACGAATGGGCCTTTAATATTCAAATAAACATTCGATATGAATGTTTATTTGAACAAATAATTCATAAGTTTATTCATATCGAATGTTTATTTGAATATTAAAGGCCCATTCGTTATAGCCTGAAGAAGAGCCCAGGAGGGGCGACAAAAACATTCGCAATTCTAAAAATAGAAGCACTCCGGTTAAAGGTTTGAGGAGTATTTTATTTTATTTTATTTAAACACCGGTGTGTAGAGAGATTGTATATACTCTCTATCTCAAATTAGTACATCACACTTTCCCCGATAGCAATAGAGTTGTGCTGGTCATCAAACTAACTTCTTTCAGGGGAATATTTTTCAATTGAAGTAACATGACTTCTGGTTTGTATTGGAAGTTCGTATATAGTTAATCAGGGTCTCCTGTCCCTAATCTTTCCATATCTGGTCTCGACTTTCATCTATCTAACTCTGTTCTCAAGATTAAGGAAGGATGACAGACAGGTGAATGACAGTGGGAATTTATAGGTTTACAATTTTTTTAAATTGCAGCTCAAAAATTTAAAAAAGGCAACAAATATAAAAATTTTGATCAGGTTTTTATAATCGATGACTTTGTTTTGACATAATTGTCAAACCTATAACTTTTTAGGGTGTGAACAATTTGTATCGAATCTTTATTATATAGTTCTTTATTATGAATTATATTCAGGTCAATGATTAGCTTTAAATGACTGTCATGTAACTACAGACTGAAAATAAGTCTAGTATATTTAGTTTCTTTATAAAATTTCAAATGAGAGAAATTCAAGACCAGTGCCATAACTAGGCGGGTGAAACAGGTGCACCCACACAGGGCCCACTCGGAAGGGGGGCCCAAATGCATGTATTTGTTTTATTTTCCCAAACCTAATTAATTAAAGGACCTAAATGCAAATTCTTGCACAGGGCACAGGAATGGCTAGTTACGGCACTGTTCAAGACCTATTTTTAAAATGATGAGTTCATACTTTATTAAGTAAAAAGTTAATTAATTAGTTTGTTTTGGATGCTACAAAAGATTTTATATGTATTTAAATATTATGATATAAACTTTTGATTTAAATGTAGAAAAAGTATTTTATAAACAATATACAAGATGATCAAATTAAAAGTTTACTTGATAGAAGTAGATATGACAATGCCAGGAATTGGTAGTTCATGATGAATTGGTTAGACTCTACCCATTTACATTTAGAGTTTCAAATTTTATTATTCAAATAAATAATTGTTTAAGATTTATGGTGAGTGTTTTCTGTGATGGATAGAAAGATATTAACAAACACTGTCAACTCTATTACTCACAAGTAAATTTTTAATTTGATTGCCTGATAGATAGACTATTTCAATAACTATAAAAATCCTATATTTTAGGAGAAGAGTTCTTATGCAATTGTAAATGTTCAAAATCTTAACAAAACTATGAGTTTGACAATTGATTACGTAGTTGTTACTTGCTGTCTTCCTGCAGAGAACAAAAACCAAGAAATGGCAATACTGACATTAATTGTTTTGCCAATGCACTTTTATAAGTTTAACGTGGATAATTTGACAGGTATTTTCATTTTTTAATTTTTACTTATTTACTAATTTTAAATGTTAAATGTGTACAAATAAGTGACATCTGAAAACTGTATTGTATGTAGTTTTTAGTTGTTTACATGTTTTAAAAGTGTAAGTTGTAAATTAAATAAACATTCAAAAATTGAGGGAATTTTTTAAGCTAATTTTTTTACTATTTATTTCATTAATAAGGAATTAGAATTTAGAATTAGCTTGAGAAGTTTAGTAATAAATGAAACCTCGTTAACTCAAAGTTGTGTTTACACTGATTTTGTCTTGAATGGATTAAACTGATTTTGGCTGATTTTGCATTAAAAGAGTTAAAATCTGGTTCTAAATGATATAAGCACTAACTAGTCAAGGTACCTGATATTGTTCAGAGAATGTAATGATGATTCTGTAAATAGATAAAATTTTGTTGTTAATAATGTAAAATAACCCTTGAAAGGCTGTAGACACTTGTCTTGTACACAGGATGATGTTTCATGCTCTAATAGTACAAAATGCTACAATTTTGTTGATCAGATATACAGTTTGTTGTATTGTAGACAGATTCAATATTTTGGAGTTTGAAAAGTAGTTGTTGTAGAGAATGATTTTTAGAAAGTTTGGTTGTATTTGCTTGTATTGTCGTCAAATGTTTACAAATTTGAAAGATAAACAGACAAACTTTCTTCTTTATGTATTAGATAATATGTTTTGATATTTATTGAGATATAACCATTTACTTACAAACATTTCCAAGTCAAAAGTGTGGCATTCAATACCGAAGAGGATATTGATTTTTTAACTTTTTTGGTCAGAAGAAGACTTAGTCAGGCTCCCAAGAAGGAACAGCGAAAATTTGCTGCTCCTTTGAAAATTTGTCTTCTTAGGGACACTTCTGAGTGGACCCATTAAAAGATAATAAATTACCAAGCCTTTATAAGCTTAATCAGATTTTCATGATTCTGAGAAATTTTGAATAAAATAAATCTGTTTTATTCTCAATATTAGAAAGTATTCTGTATTTAATGATAACTGTTGTATGTGGTAACCTTTGCTGAATTTATTGATTCTTGTCAGATCACCAAAATTAAGCAGTGTAGAACCTACAATATGTTACTATCAGAGATGATACAGAATTACTGAGTTGTGTTATCTAACTGTGTATAGTCTTGTAATTCTGGTTGAATCTTGATTAAAAGAAAAAGAATTAAAAACATGAAGGGCATCTACCATGAAATGTGACTAAATCAGGAAAATGAGTCTAATAATGCTGAGAGTAATTCTTTAAACTGTAATAAGGAGAATTAATTATACATCATAACTTTTTTCTATTTTTATAAGATAACTTGATAAATATAAGATGTTTAATATTATATTAAAAGTACGATTGAGAAAATAGATATATTTTGATGTCTTACAGATAATGAAAGGCAATATAAACAACCACACTTCTTAGAAGTATCGCCTTGTCCTTGTGATATAACTGAAAATCATTGTGATATTTTATGTTGCTGTGATCAGGTAAGTGCAATTTACATATTTTAGAGAGATAATGTAAATGTCAAACTTGATAATTATTTAGGATCTAAAGAATTCTAAGTGGGAATATACATCTCATTTAAAGAACTGAAAAGATTCAGTAAGAAAGTTAATGTATTCATTTGTAAGTTTCATTTGGATAATTGGAACCTCATTTAATCAGGGCTCAGATAATTGGAGTTTTACTGTATTTTTTTTAATTTAAATTTTGTATAGTTTTCTTCAAATTTTTAATCTGTACAATCATTTATGACGAATTTTATTATTATTTAATTATGGCAATAAATCTGAATCTGTTTAATTGTTTGACTGAATTTTTTGGTTCCTGATAATGGATATAAAGTTAATTTGAAAGCACTTGAACCTTTTTCTTATGCTTTTCTGCTCTCAAAACATTTATTATTTTTTCACTATTTTGGAATATTAACCTTAATGTAGTTACGATTATAAGATTTAATTTTAAGCAATTTTGAAATAAATCATATACCAAATGATCAAATGGAAATTTTACTTGCAAGGAGTAGACTTGGTGATGCTTTGAGCTGCATTTGTTATTGGCTATTGCCCTGCTACATCATAAGAAACAACGAAATTTTGAACACTTATTTATTAGACATTTGAAACTTTTTATTGGCATCACCAAATATATTTATCATAAATAACTATTTGACTCGATCCCTCTGCATACGATGCCCTGCACTCCCCAAAAAAGTAAATTGATTACAAATTTTATACCAAATTAAGATCTGAATATTGTAGTTAATATTTATTAGTTATCTGCATTTTTTTAATATGAAATTACGTCAATACATTGAAAAAGTATTAGTAATAATATTAAATAAAATAGAAATAAAAAGGGGTGCAAAAAATGTATAATTTAGAATTAGCTTGAACAAAAGTTATTGCACTAACTTCTTGAATATTCAACATGCGACATATTCGTTGTTTAGAACACGTTAATGTATATTTTAAATTTGTAAGGTTCCATTAAGATTCCATTATTCTATAACTGAAGAAGATAATCTGTAATTTGTCAAAAGTACTTGTAGTAATATTTCAAGTAAAATATTAATGCTGATAAACAGTGTTAATATTTCTGAATACATTCCTTGAATTTTAAATAGTTCTAATTTGCATGAGTCTGTCTTTATACATATTCTCAGCAGCACAACTCTTGCATAAATCACAACTGTAGTCCATTATTTTGTTTAAATTAAAATCCACCATTTGTAAATTCAAAATTGTTTCAGTTATTACATACAATAAACTTCTATTCTTTTGCTGTATTAATAAAGCCAATTAATTAATTAATATTAATAAAGCATATTAATTAATTGAATAAACTCTAAATGACTTGAGACTGATTATGTTATTGTTACTTATTTTTTTTTTTTTACACTTAAAAGAGTTATTCAGAGCAGGAAATCCATTTATATACGTTGTTAAAATCTATATAAATGTATATATTTTTTTGTATTTTGAAAAACATTAACATTAAAACTTTGAGAAAAAAATTATATAAATTATTTTATTTTTTCTATATTTATGGAATAAGTATTAATAAAACTGCTAAATATGTTTTCAATATGTGTTTGTTTCATTCTTACACCCAGGAAGAATTGCAAAAATCACATAATAAAGTTGTTGCATGTAGGAAAACAAGTAAAAGTATCAATGTTTTCACTTGAGAAGATTCCTAGTTTATGGTTCCTTCTATTATTGGAATCATTCTTAGATAATTTGTTCATAATCTTATCTGCTAGGACCAGTTCTACTTTAATTTGTTGTGACAAAATGCACATCTCACTTGTCTCACAACTTGAGAGGAGCCTGTCCTGTATGGTCCGCCAATACAATTTTCTCATCCTTTTCATGAATGTCAGTGCCAAATGCAATCCCATTAAGTGGACCTCTACTAACTTAATTTATCTGTCCACTAGATCAGATTTTACAGAGAATATTAGTTTATATAAATAAACTAACAATCTTTTCATTTAGTTACGTACCTTCTCTAGCACCTGACAGGAGGCTGTGCATATTTTTAATGGATATTGATGGTATGTTAAGTCAGACTCTTACATTCTTTACTGTTTTCATAAACAATTTTCTATTCATCTAACATTTTCTTCTTGTAGTAATTTTTCTACATCTTCCATCAAAGCACAGATTTCTTTTTTTAAATCATTTCTTCACATTTTTCTTGCATCATTTTCAAAAAAGAAAACTATACAAGAGAATAATAAAAGTGTAGTAGACTGCAATACATAAGCTATCTGCTGTCACTTGTAGAGAAAGAAGAATTGCAAAATTAGTTGTAAAAATTGAAATTAAAATTATTTATAATATTTTATTATTATACTTTATTTTTGGAATTTTAATTACATTGTCTGACTACAAAAAGGTTATAAACAAATTTTTTTTTTCTTTTTTAGGAATGTCCGTCCTCCATACACAAAGATGTCGAGTGCATCAAGAGTTCGTATGGTGGAAATAAAGTTGAAGTATTTGGTAATTGGAATTGTAAAAGTACTGAAGATAAAAGTTTTGAGTTTCGTCAATTTTTATGTATTTTTGCTGAAAATACTCCCTTTCTTGGATATTATTATCATGACATATCTAAAGCAAATGATCATTCTGCAATATCAAAAATTTTATCAAAAGCTAAAATTTTACAGAACAAACAGTTTAAAACTGAAGAAATTAAGTCAAAATATGCAAAAAAATCATCTGTAAAACATCTGCATCAGATTTCCCAGAATTTAAGTACATCGGTTGCTTCATACAAATATAGAGATACATTGCGAGTAATAAGCAGCATCCATGAAATTCAGAGATTTACTGAATGGTACATACCGGTTTCCTTATATACTGGACACTGTAGTTTTCAGTTTCCTGTGCGTTTCCTTCAAAATTATCAATCATTTTGCGCTTTGAAAGTAAAACATTTATGTGAAGGAAATCAAATGGCAAGTACAATGCTTGATGCAAAGTATTACATAAAGGATGGATATGAAATTTTACAAGTTCCTGGATCAAATGAAACATTAAAACCAAACATTATTTATGTACTTAAGAAGTATTCGCCATTCAATGATAGTTTTCAATATAAAGAATTGGATTCATATTTCCCTCCTATGTATTCAAATGGAATTTGTTGGAATATTGTACATGAGGTAAACTACATATTCTTTTGGAGTGGCGGAAGAATATTAATGATGAATATCACTATTGTAATTGGTGACATTTATCTCAAAGAAAACAGTTGTGAAAATAAGTTAGCTGTTTCAGTTTTAACACAGAAAATCTCTGTAAAATTCCAATATAAAGTGAATAATTTAATTATGTCCAGAATAGAAGAGAATAAAACAAATGAAAACTATTTAGAATTCAGATCAGGGAATCCTGGTTATGAAATGGACTATCCTGTATTGTCTGCAATTATAAATGAAAATGATAATTATTCAATTCAAATTGGAGATTATTTGAAGCTTTGGAACCCAAGTAAGTTAAATATGCTTTTTTCTTTTTTTTTGTTAAATTACAGGTGATCAAAGTTTATTTGAAAGAAGTAGACCTGGCTATGTTCATGAGTAGTGACTAGTCAGTCAAACATTACTGATTTATTTATTTAGAGTTGGATACGAACAGATGTCCAGCTCATAGGAAACATAATCTATTACTATAAATTTCAAAATAATTGGTGCTGATTCAGACATGGGCCGATGTAGAATGGTCCACACAGACCAACATAATGCAAATTTTGTAACTTTTAATTTGAAAATAACTGATCTCAACTTGGGTCAAAGACTGCCACAATAGGATCCATATTGGACTAATGCTTGGCACTACACTGATTCAATCTAAGGTCTAATCTGATGCCTTAATTGCTGTGTCATCTGGCCAGAAATTTACACATGGACCTATTTGGTATATATCCTGGGCTGAAATTTGTGCCAGTCCAACACTGATTACTTTGAGTACCAAAAACTAGTGTCCTGGTCTGCTATTGGAAACTCTAATCATGTCATACAGAGACCAAGTTATTGTGTGATCATGCTGCTCAGGGAATTTTAATACTCTAATTAATTATTTACTTTAGTCTGTATAATTATGAACATATTAATCAAATAAATAACACCAAGAAAACCTTCAAAATATACCAGCAAATATAATTTAATATAAATATGTTATGACAGCTTCTATTTTTAGAATTCCGAATGTTTTCGTCGCCCCTCCTGGGCTCTCCTTCAGGCTATAACGAATGGGCCTTTAATATTCAAATAAACATTCGATATGAATGTTTATTTGAACAAATAATTCATAAGTTTATTCATATCGAATGTTTATTTGAATATTAAAGGCCCATTCGTNATTTATTGTTATGTTAAATATTTACTTGCAAAAAAAGTTTATGTAAACTTTTGTATTTTATAGTACTGAAGAGGGACCTTTTTTAGAAAAGGACCGAAATGCATCTATAGTAATAGAATAAAGTGAAATCATTGGCTAAAGCTGTGTGATAGTCTACCGCCAATATTAAAATTTACATTTTAAGTGCGGATTTACAAAGACTTTACAATATATATGGTATATTTTGTTGATGTTATTTACTAGTGTATAAACAACTTTGGGAAGATTTAGAACATGTTAATCAACTTGTTTTAAAATATCAGTACTAGTTAGTTATTAGCAAGTATTTGATTCTGCCTTGGTTTATTAAAGAATAATACTACAAGGACCTTAAGTCTGTATGTCTTGTCACTCTGACAAGGTTCAAAATTGTTCTCAGAATATAATTTGTCACACTCTTTAGTGACTATTCTACTTAAAAGCAATTTTAGTTATTTGTCTTCAATCTTGATAGCACACACATAAGTGGAATATTAATTTTCTGCTTTAACCAGGTTATGTTATATTCTTACTACGTAAAAACCTCTTCCTTTTCTATGTTGGACAGGTTTCTAGCTTGTTCTTGTAGTAAAATTTAATATAGAAAATTGCTTTATCAGGAAGAATTGTTTCTGTTAGGAAAATTTTCATTTTATTCGGGTAATGTTTTGGACCGGTTTTACTGTACATATGCCTCATCTCACATCTTTCATTTTTATGCCAATCCACATTAAATTGATACTAGATAGTTTTACTTAAACTTTGTATATTGAAATATGTAACATAATAATACATAATGAAATGTTTAATGATTCAATAAAATTAATTTAATTAGATTTTTAACTTATTTTCTAGAATAATTACTACATACTTAATGCTGGTATTGCCTATTACAACCTGGATAGGTTGTAATAGGCATGGCATCACCAGGTCTGCTACTTGTAAGTAAATATTTGGTTTGATCACCTGTTATAGTAAATAATTTAATATAGATTATATACATTCAGTCATTGTAAATGATTTTTCAAAATGATATAAATAAATTAATATATTATTTAAATATATTCATTTTTTGATGCTATTTTGAAAGTGTAAATTGTAATATACACAGTTTATACTTTCTACTCGTTTCATTTAAAATAATGTTGAGAAAAATACACATACCGCTACATTCTTTTTTTTTATACTGACTTGTCACAGTATGTTGCTTATAAAAATGAATTAATTTTTAGCGAATATTGTTTGTATATGTCAGTATTAAGCATTTTAATTATAAATTAATTACTCTATTTCTAATCTGTTAGTATTTATGGTGTTCCAAATGGAAATGTGTCCCACATATTGAACTCATTCCATACATTTAAGTTTCTTCTTTGCTAGTCACATTATTTCAATCAGATTTCTTTCCTTGTTATTCAAAAATGTATAAACAATGAATTTAATAATAAAATACTAAGAAAATTAGAGGGAATAATTAGCTGATTAGAGAATTAATAAATTTGAGAAAACTTTTAAGCGATTAGTTTTGTTTTAAATGCAGGGTAGATTTTTGTTTAAAATCTGCATTATAACAAGGTAGCAATGTACAGTACTTAAATATTAATCAAAAAAGTTGTAATTTGTCCTTTAGGCTTTATAATAAATTTTTTTTTTTAATAATATATTTTAAATTATATATTAAAACAGTTTGTTGGTGTGAATGGTCAGGATTATGTAGCAGAAATTTTACAATTATAGTATATAACAGTGGTGCGCAAACTAGGGGTCGCGACCCCTGTGGGGGTCGCCAGAAGTTTTTTGGGGGTCGCCAAATATTTATGAAATGCATTATGCCTGCATGCTGCATACCATACAGTGTATATATAAAGAGTGAAGCGCCGTCACTCACTGTTTAATTGCAATTTCATGCAGAAGATTCAAGGATTTTCCTGAAAACGATCTTGGTTGGATTCGTGATCCATTTTCCTACTACATATGCAGTTCAACTCTTCAAATTAGTGAGAAAGAGCAATTGATAGATTTAATTAGTGATTATACTCTTCGAAATCAATTTAAGACTCAGCCTTGCCAAAAATTTTGGCTATCCGTGGAAAAACAATATCCCGTTTTATGCAAGAATGCCATCAGGGTTTTAATACAATTTGCATCAACGTATTTATGTGAAACTGGATTTAGCAAACTAGTTTCAATAAAAACTAAATACCGCTCGCGTTTAAACCTTGAAGATGATATGCGAATTGCAATTAGCAACATACATCCAAACATCGATGAGATAATTAGAAACTTGCAGCCACATACATCTCATTAAAGGGAAATTTACTGATTTTTATGTTATACAAAAAGTATTTTCTTAAAATTATAAATAAAATTAATATGAGTCAGATATGATGATGTTTTTATTCAATGAAACGAAAGAAATGTGCGAAATATACATCGTATTTGTGAACATTTATCTCTAGGGGTCGCCAAAAATTTTCTCTCTACAAAAGGGGTTGCAGTAGAAAAAAGTTTGTGCACCATGGGTATATAATATCAGAAAAAAAATAGATAATTACTATTATAAGTAAATTTGCAGTCTGTGTTTATATTTGGCACATTTTTTTCTGATACATTTTTAAAAATTGAATGTGGACTCTTACTGAACTCTCCTGTAATATGAATTTGTGAACTCTCCTGTAATATGAATTTGTGAACTCTCCTGTAATATGAATTTACAGTACACAGTAAGTAGAGAGTCTTAGTGAACTCCCCTGTAATATGAATTTGTATAATGCAACAAGTTTAAACTTGCATAAAATTGTCCGATAATGCACGTCTCATATAATGCGATTTCCTATAATGTGTATTCCCCACATTGTATGGTAGTCTGCTATATATGTGGTTCTATATTGCATGTATTGTAATAAATATCAATGAATTTCATTCATAATTAATTTAATTTACTGGTACTTATATTTTGTGTCTTATATTGAAAAGTTCTCCCTCTCTTTAATATTAGATATTGAAAATTTAGCCATTTGTCATTCTTATTAGATTACTATTCATTAGTTGTCTATTAAAAATTCTGGAATTGATGATACATATACAGAGAGAAAATTTTTGGAAAAACTCAAAGTACTCTATTTGGAATTTTTTTTATTTGTATAACGTTTAGGATTTATAGTTGTGTTGATTAAACAATAAAGCTAGATTAAATATTGGACCAGAATATAATTAATTTAATTTAATAGAAACTACATAATTTAGATTAAAGATGAAGTGATGATTAAATAACTGGAACTATGATTAACCATTGATTTTCAACACCAATCTTGCACTTCCAACACTTAAAATGTCTGTTGTTATTAATTAATTATCAGTGTATTTCATAAGTCTGTGTCAGATTTCCCACATTTCAATTTGATAAAGTTAACAAACAAGTAACATTCCAATATGGAATGTTATCAAATTGAAGCTAGTATGTGAAACCTGACACAGACTTATGAAATACACCTAAATGTTTGTTGTTATTAATTAAAGCACTGAAAGTGCAAGAATGGTGTTGAATGTCAAAAGTTAAAGGTAGGTGGTTAAGCAGCCATTTTGTATTAAAGTTAATAATTACATTAATTTTGAGTTAATTATGCATTCATGAATTATGTTTCTTCTTACACGTTCCTTTAGTTTACACTCAAAATTGAAGGTGAGATGCATTTGTGAAATGCTTTTTTTCTCTAATTTTTAATACATTTCTACAGATAATTATTCTTTGATGCTCTTACATAGAGATCAATTTTAAATATATTTCTATGGATAATTTAGCCTTGTGGATTTTAGATAAAGGGTTGTGCTCCTGGTGTATGTGCATGAGAATTAACACATTGGGAATTCACTCATGTGCATGGTATATTATTGACATAATTCCCAATGTAAGTCACAACTGCATGTTATATTATTGAGAGTTACAAATAAGGAAATCCTTTTATAATCTTATAAGATACCAAAACATAAAATAAAAAATATTTTTACTTATAAAATAAACTTATTATTTTTATAAAAATGAATATTTGTACTGGTATATTTATTAAAATCTGAAAGGAAGTTCTAGAATTTTAATAATAAGTAGAAAGATT